CAGTCATAGCATACTGTATGCATTTCCTAGGGCTACTGTAACAAATTACCACAAATTTAGTGGCTTAAACACAAATGTATTATCTTCTCGTCCTGGAGATCAGAAATCCAAAATGAGTCTCATTAGACTCAAATCAAGGTGTCAGGACTGCATTCCTCCTGGAGGCTCTAGGGAAGAATCTGTTTCCTTATCTTAAGAGGTTGCCTGCATTCCTAGGCTGGCTGCCCCCTTCCAGCAACTGCATCACTCTAACCTCTGCTTCCATCATCAGGTATCCTTTTCTGACTATGGCCATCCTGCTTCCCTCTTATAAGGACTCGTGATTATACTGGGTCTACCCAAATAATCCAGGATAATCTCCCTATCTCCAGATCTTTAATCACATCAGCAAAGTCCTTTTTGCAATGTAAGGTTACATATTTACAGGTTCTAGGAATTAGGACACGGACACCTTGGGGGTGCCATTATTAGCCTACTATATGTATCGACTCGTTTTTTATTTAAATCTATCAAGCGAATAGTTAGCTCAAAACTAATTCATTGAACTAACTGGGAAAATTAATGCTATTTCCCAGACCAAGGTTGTCTCCTGCTGCCCCTACCCGTTGTCATCTTCTAAAAGCATTTGCCTTTGGTTCATACTCAATAAAGGTATGTGAGTAGTTTTTAAACAGAGACTAGAACACATATATTTAAGCAAGCTTTATCCCTCCTCTCTTCAATGTAATCACCTTTTGCCCATGAATGTATTCTACTTTTAGGGCTGGATCTGACGAAAACAGTGGGAAATCAAACTGAATAATACTATTTGGGGTGTGCTTATAATGTAATGAAGCATTTTCTTATGTGGCTCAAAAAGAATCTAGAAACATTTCCAAGAGGGTCATAAAAATATTTCGAGAGCAAAATTAAGTGTCCCAGAGTAAATACTTTGAACAACTATATCTATTCAGAAACAGAAATGCTAGCACCTATTTTTTTTAGATTACTTTTTCCTTTATTGGAAATTCAGCTATTTTCATATCAAATTCTAATTTCATAAATAAATGTAATACCTGATTTATTCATTTTTGGCAACTAGCCAGTACTGGGATCCGAACCCTTGACCTTGGTGTTATAAGACCGCACTCTAACCAACTGAGTTACCAGCCAGCCCAATTAAATGTAGGGCTTATGTCTAAAAATACGATTTTCCCCAGAGTTTTCTCAGATGATCACTGAAAATAAAATAGAAACAAGTTTCTCCATAATTTTAATAGATGCCTCAGGTGTGGAAGTACGGATTTTTAAGAATATATTCACTACCATAATGAAAGTATATTAGAATGCTCACTCAACATATCAATCTACTACAGTCTATTGTGCCTTTTTCCCCTTTTGGTCTTTCTTTTCAGTGCCATCTTTGGTTCAGTTCACAGACTATAGCTAGAGTTGTGAGATGTCTAGTTGCTATGAGGGGTCTTCAAAAAGTTCATGGAAAGATTGTCTTTTAATTCCATCATCACACAAACTTTTTGAAGTACTCTTGTATTTAAAGGAGGCTGTTTACCCTCAGAAGCACACAATCACATATCTGACCCCACAGTGAAGCTTATTACAGGCACACTTAAGTACAATTTAGAAAAAGTCCAAGAACAAAAATTTTCAGATATCTATAATGTTCCTTCATTTGGAAAATAGCTCCATTATATGACAACTCAGTTCCATCGAGAAATAAATGGTAAAAGTACGAGTGGAAATATTTTTCCAAGTGATAATAAAGCAAAAACTGGTTGTATAAAAGCACTCTGCTATTGATTCTCAAGTTGTTAGTGAAGGAAAAAACTATTACAAATTCCTGTGATTGATTCCTCCTAAGAGTTACTAAACAAGTCTTTCAATAACATCTGACCATGTCTTTCAACATAATGAACTAAAACAGACTTCTAAATAGCATTTATGACTGACAGCCCTCACTCACAGTAATTTGCCATTTACCAAGTAATTACCATGTAATTTACTAAGTTCTTTACAGAGACCAATAGGTCAGTCTTTCCCCTAATGCATTAAAAAAATGAAGTTATAGAAACCATAAAATATGAGAAACTATTGAAATTCAGGCATTTATAGCCAAATCCTAAACCTGACCTATATCGTCAAAGAGTTTGTTTTTATCATCCTTGAAGCCAAATATCAACAGTAACATTTATCTCTCTTGGTTCTTTGCACTGCCATAAGATCAGTGTATTCTAAGCAAATGGATGCGGGGCTATAAAGAATTGTTACACAAGTGTCAAATATTCACAATGGGAGAAATGCCATCGAGAGAAGAAAGTATTAAAAACCATTGTTTAGCTGTGAATTTAGAATCAAACATGCAAAAATAAAATTAAAAAAAAAGAAGTTGCCTAATATTAGGGGAGAAGATTAAGCAAGAGGTAGTATGAATGCAATAAAATATGTTATATATCAAATTGATAAGACAAAAGTATGGACATACCAATTATATACATATACAATACATATATTCACACACATATATATAAATTCTATATATACTATATATAAAATCTCACACATATATGTAAACAAAGATTGGGAAAGAACCTAGAATAATTCAAACATTTAAATTGATTACTGGGATGTTTTTCTATAAAATTCTTTAGTATATAATAAAGTAAGACTTCATAGAAGAAAGAGAAGAAATTGTACATTACAAACTGCATAGTAGTCAGGAAAGTAATTAAAAGATGATGCTCCTTATTCTCCTGGGATTCCAAATAAGCTAGTTTTTCTTAATTCCAAATATGCAGAAGATGAAGCAATATCCAAAAACTGATCAAATAAGTCCACTAATTCTGACATTCCTTTCAGAATAGAAAACTGCAATTGTTTTTCTCTGTGTAAATTAAAATGTACATTATATATTTATTACTTTTGCTCCACATGAGAGATTACCAAATCTAGCTATGTATCCAATCACCTGGGGTACTTTTTAAGAATAAGCTCCTGAGACCATCTCCTAGACATTACAATTTGAGAAGTCTGGAGTGGAAGCTAGGAATCAGTATACATGATATAATATAAAGGTCATGTTAGTGTATTATAAAAATTCCTACTCTGATTCAGCTAGCTTTTGGGATTGGTCCCATATTTCAGTGCTTTCCAAACTATTGAATGCACACACAAATCACTTGCAGGTGGTATCAAGAGGCAGATTCTGATTCAGAAGGTTGGAGATGAAGCCTGGGAATCTGCATTTCCAACAAGCTCTCAGGTGATGTCCATGCTGATGATCCAGGGACCACACTTTGAGTAGTAAGAGATCATTGGATCTTTCAACCTTTCCACAGGTGAATGATAGAAGGCATCCCCCAAGGCAGTTTTTGCTACTGGAATATTTTCTTCAAGTTTTTACCTAAATATCCTTTAGCATAGCTAGAGTACACAATCTGCAAAATATTTGACTTATCTTTACTATGTACCCTACTACCAAGTAAATGTACACTTACTGATAATGAAAAATGCTCAAAATAAGTGAAAATAAAAATTATGAAACTTTTGGATCCCCATACAAGCCAGCTGCCAGCAAAAAAAAAAAAAGAAAAAAAATTACAAAACCTTATAGAAAGATATATATACTTACCGGAAAGATATATATACCAAAATGTTTAAAACACCGTACTCCAAGTAGTGGAATTTTAGGTCATTTTGATGCTTTCTTGCCAGCATTGTCTAATATTTCTACTATGACATATACCTTATAAAATTCTTAAAGGGTACAAAGGGGGTGAGAAGAAAACCAAGCAAACCCCACACATGCACACACTTTGCAAGGACCACTTGAATGGTTTGACTGATAGTTAATTTGCTTTCCAAAGAGCAGTCAAGAGACTTCCTAAATTAGAAGCACTTAGAAAGTCTGGTAAAATTGCAGTCTTGCACCCAACCCAGACTTACTGAATTAGAATATGTTATAGGCCTCAGAATTTGCATATGAAGCAAACAGTGACTCTTACAAACAATAAAGTTTGGAAACCATGGACATCAAACAAAAAGCTTCCTAGAACTGAAGGGACCTGGACTAAATTCCAACCTATCTGAATGGCAAGTTCAGCCATAAATATGTATACATACACACCCACACTCACAGAGAGCACTGGAATTTGAACAATAATGAAAACCTGTACTTAGCCACTGGTTTTATTCAATCTTAACTTTAAGCACCTCATGTGAATGCTGACTACTTCCTGTGAGCTGAGGTCACAAAGATTGTCCTTATATTTGACCTACATCTGTCTAAAACTATTCTTATAACCCCCTCTGTGATGTTCTATTCCCCCCATTTTAGTCCTCCATTATTTAAAAGTACTACATAAACATTTATCATGGAACCAAGTATCTAGGTAATTCAATCTTTCTCTTGTTTTCATTTCTCCTTTCTAAACACATTCCAGTTGACTAGCCTCAGTAAATTTTAGTGATTATTTCTTCCAGAGATGCTCTCTGAGGTAAATGGAAAGGCATGGGAAGTTTCTATCAATAGAGGTCCTCAAAGAATCAAGAAAAAATTTTCCCATTCTGCAAAACACCACATGAACTCTCAAAATTTTGTTTAAAGAAAAAGAGAAAAGGTAGATATCACACTGAATATATCCCTATCACACTCTTAAGTATTTAGTATAACAATCAACTCATAAGGCATACATTTTTGAAAAGTTTTCAAAATGAGACATTAACAAGAATTTTGGGAATTTCCTAAGGCTAATAAAGAGAATTTTCCCAAAGAAAGCCAGGAGATTTTTTTTCCCCCTTTAATACACAGGCAAAAACAACAGGAGAAAAAAAAAGTTTGGCATGAGCTCTTAAAGAGGATCTAGGAAAGAAGTATAATTTGGGGGAAGTGGGGGACAAGCCCTTCATTTTATCTTAATACATGATACATTTTAATCCTAGATAACTCAGAAGGCCAGGCCAACTAAAATTGGAATTTATTAAAACCAAGAAGATTATATACTCACCTGCAGCTCACACCAAGCAACTTCAACCCATGTTTCAGTGTCCAGTCCTTTATATACTGTTTTAAATGCTCCTCTTCCAAGCTCTATGTCAAATTTCAGGAACCTGCCACTAGGAGAAGTAGCTACAGCCTTCATCTCTGCTTCTTCTTCCATTTCCTTTTCATTTTTCTCCTTGATACAATCTTTTGAGGATTCCAAAGTTGCCTTTGAATATTGCTCATATTTAACTTCTTGCCGACCTCTTACCACATTTGTAGGATGTTTATCTATTCTTGGAACATTTGTTGCAGCCTTTATTCTCTCATCTTTGGGGGAAGGTTTGGCAACTTTGTCATCTTCCATCATCTCAACACTCTTTCGGAAAAATCTCTTCCTTTCTACAGTTTCTCCAGAAGCAGAGAAGGTGCTCTTTTTTTCCTTTAGTCTAGCTTCTACTGTCAAAGTTGCAGCAACCTGAGGAACTCTATTTTCAAATGAAACTCCATCAGGTGTCTCAGAATCTTCTGTGCTGGCTAGCTCTCCTGAATCAGTGGCCATTGTAATTAAGGTTGACACTAAATTTTTTCTTGTTCCACTCTTCAGTCCGGTTACATCTCAGGTATCAGAATTATCAGAATAAACTTCCTTTTATGTGGTCATATATTTCCATAGCAACCTGAATGGGGGGGGGGGGAAGATATTTTAAAATCATCCCACAAAGGAAATCATTAAGGACAAAACAGGTCACTTGATTTTTTTAATCCCTTTTTTTCTTAATAAGAAGTTTATCCTTTTTTCTGTCCAATCTCAGCAACCAGCAGTCTCCAGGGACTGTATCTTGTTTACCACTGTAGCCCTCACTGCCTAGTTGACTACTTGGTATATAGCTCAGTATGTCTTCATATTGCATGAATATTGGTTAGAAACCTAGTTCTCAGCCCCATCTATCAATCCATCAAATTCAAAACAGTACCCAAACCCTGAGTTCACTTAGCTACAAAGTGACACACACAGTAAGTAAAACAACCACATGATTTCTATGTGGTTTTTGCCTAAAATTCTGGAATTCATCCAATAATGGCTTATTTTATTGTGGTAAATTGTACATAAAATCAAATTTGCCATTTTAACCATTTTTAAGTATACAATTCAGTGGCATTAAGTACATTCACAGTGTTGTGCAATCACTACTATCCACTACCGGAACTTTTTCATCATCCCAAACTGAAACTTTGTACCTTTAAACAATAATTCCCTATCCATTCCCAGCCCCTTCCCCGCCCACCCTGCTTTCTGTCTCTATGAATTTACATATGCTAGGTACTTCATATAAGTTGAATCATACATCACTTGTCCTTTTGCGTCTGGCTTATTTCACTTAATGTTTTCAAGGATCATTGATGTTGTAGAATGTATCAGAATTTCACTCCTTTTAAAGGCTGAACAACATTCCATTTCAGGTATACATCACATTTTGTTTATCCATTTACCTGTCAATGGATTACGTTGTTTCCACCTTTCAACTGTCGTCAATAATGCTACTATGAACATCCAATAGTAGTTTTATTTTTTTATTTTTTATTTATTTTTTTCCCTTTTTGTCTTTTTTCGTGTCCGGCAATGGATCACAACCCTCAGTGTCGCGCCCTACCGGACCGGGACCGGCAACGGGATCGCGACCCTCGGTGTCACAACCGCACCTCGCTCAGCCAGTGAGCGGGAACCGGTCTGTATGTGGGATCCAAACCCTCAGCGGGAGCGCTGCCACACTCCCAAGCGGCGCACTGTAGCAGTGCGCCACCGGGCCGGCCCCCAATAGTAGTTTTAAATAATGCAAACACCTGTTTATGAGCTGGCCTTCAGATTTTAATAGAAAGTACTGTCAAATATTAATATACTACACCAGAAAAAAAGCAAGAAAGACTTAAAACCATGTGCCTTTTAAACCAGCAATTCCACTTATAGAAACTTGCCTTAAAAAGTTATACACTTATGGAAAATAGTCAAGAATATGTGCAAAGATTTAACTATAAAGATGTTCATTATAGCACTTATAACTTGGAAAAACTGTAAGTAAACATAAGCCCAATGGGTATTTAATTAAATACCTCAAAATGAGGTATGATACAGCATTAAAAATAACACTGTAGTGAGATGAAAAGATGTTCCCTATATATGTTTAAATGAAAAAAGTAATATATGAAACAAGATTCCACACACACAAATATTAATTGTGAAATTCTGAATTGTGTAATTTTTTCTCTTTCTGCTTTTTTAAAAATATTTTTTAAAACTTTCCACTATGGACATGTGAAAATATGTGGAACTTAATGAGGAAAAAAAGTTTTTGAAATGAATGGTCCAACCACCAATAAGAAAATTCTTCGTTTCTCACCACAATCAAGCATTGCAAGAGTTAAGCCTGTATACTTGTTACTATGTTATGTGCCTTGGAGGGCACAATTTGTCACAAAGATTTGTTAAGAATTATGTCAAGCCAAAAATACACAGAAATATCAAATTTGAAAAACTTAAGAGTCCTAGCTGGCGCAATTAGGCAAGAGAAAGAAATAAAGGGCATCTAAATTGGAAAGGAGGAAGTCAAACTGTTCGTGTTTGCGAATAACATAATCTAATATAGAGAAAACCCTAAACACTCCACAAAAAAACCTCCTACAATTGATAAACAAATTCAGTAAAGTTGCAGGATGCAAATTCAGCATAGAAAAATCAGTAGCATTTCTATATACCAATAACAAGCTAGCTGAAAAAGAAATTAAGAAAATTCCATTTATAATAGCTACAAAAAAAATGGAATTAACCTAAGTGACCATTAATAGATGAATGGATAAAGAAAATGTGGCATATATACAGAATGGAATACTACTCAGCCATAAAAAAAGAATGAAATCCAGGCAGATGAAAGATCACCAGCAAAGGCATGGAAACAGCACGGAGCTAGTGTATCAGTGGTACCACGAGTAGCTTACTTGCATATTAGAAACAGACAGATGAGGACAGAGAGGCAGATAGTCACCAAGGACCTCTATGTCATACAATGTACAACAAGGAAACCAATTAAAAAACTACTGCAATAATCCAGGAAAGAGATGATAAGGCTTGAATGAAAACTGTGGCAAGAGGGATAGACTCAGACACATTAAGGAAGTACTAAATGCAGGATTTACTGCCTAATGAATACAGTTTTGATGAGAAAAGGAAGAGTTTTACAATAACTCCCGGAAATTTGCTAACCAGATGATGCTACTAAGACATATATATGTTAATACCAGAGCTAAGTATCAAACTAAGGACTCATGAAGTGCACTGTGAGGTTACATTGCCAAATCAATATACTTCCAAAATCACTTAATAAGACGAATATTACCTGCAAATGAAAAGATAACTTGCAAAGCCTCACTTAAATAGAAAGTTTTTAAACTTTTTATTTTGAAATAATTTTTGACTTGGAAAAACCTTGCAAGAGTATTAAAAAAATCCAGTATACCCTTCATCCACATTTCCCAAATGTTAACATTTTAGGTGGAATATATTTAAGTAAGAATAATAATAGCTAGTCACTTCATTTAACTAAAGGTCACTTATCCAGAAACCTCAAGAGCAGAAATCCAGAAGTAAGACAAAAGGACTTCTAAGCAGTCGAAATAGGTGAAGTCGGAGAATTTAAGTTGGAAAGGGCTTCAAAAAATGTTTGCCAGCCAGTTAGCTAAGTTGGTTAGAGTGCAGTTTTATAACACCAAGGTCAAGTGTTCATATCCCCTACGAGCCAGCCCCTCCTCAAAAAAAATTCTTTTACTGAAGAACCTCTTTTTAAAAATGAAATCTCAGGGCCGTCCTGTGGCTCAGTTGGGAGAGTGTGGTGCTGATAACACCAAGGCCACGGGTTCGGATCCCTATATAGGGATGGCCGGTTAGCTCACTTGGAAGAGCGTGGGGCTAACAACACCAAGCCAAGGGTTAAGATCCCCTTACTGGTTATCTTTTAAAATAAATAAATAAAATAAATAAAAATAAAAATGAAATCTCATTCAGAACCCTAATACGAAAAGAAAAAAAAAGTGGCAAGTACTGGTGCTCTGGTATAAAAATTCTAACACATTTTTTAGTCACCTGGTTTCCAAAGCTACAAGATAGCAGCAAATAAGAGGCATGGGGAATGGAGTGTTTCCTCAGTCTTTTAAAAACTAATACCCTAAGACAAAAGAAAAAGTTACTAGAGACAAAGAGGGACATTTTATAAGGATGAAAGTGTTAATTCATCAAGACAATATAAAAATTATAAACATAAACACATCTAACAACAGAGCCCCAAAATACATTAAATAAAAACTGACAAAACAGAAGAGAAATAGGCAATTCAATAACAGTAGAAGATTTCAATGCTCCACTTTCAATAATAGAACAACTAGACAGAAAACCAACAAGAATATGAAAAATTTGGACAATACCATCAACCAACTTGACCTAACTGACATCTACAGAATGCTCCACCCAACAAGAGCAAAATATACATTATTTTCAAGCATACATGGAACATTCTCCAGAACAGATCATATGCTATGTAGTAAAACAAATCTCAATAAATTTAAAAGGATTAAAATAATACAAAGTATGCTTTCCTATCACAAAAGAATTAAATTAGAAAAGAACAACAGAATAAGGGTAGACATATAGATAAAGAGTCTAGAGTAAGCCCTAACATTTATGGTAAACTGATTTTCAACAAAGAGGCCAAGACCATTTAATGGGGAAGAACAGTCTTTTCAACAAAAGGTGCTGGGACAACTGGAATCCACATGAATGAAGTTGGACCCCTAGCTCACACCGTACACAGAAATTAACTCAAAGTGAATCACAGACCTAAATATAAGAGCTAAAACTATAAAACGCTTGGAAAAAAAATTAGGAGTAGATCTCAGGAAACTTGGGTTGGGCAATAATTTCCCAGATACAACAATAAAAACACAAGCAATAAAAAAGAAAACTGAGAAGCTGCACCTCATCAAAAATGTAAAACTTTTGTGCTTCAAAGGATGACATCAAGTAAAAAATCAACCCACAGGCTGGCAGAAAATATGTGCAAACCATATATCTGATAAGGAACGGGTATTTAAAATATATAAAGAATTCTTACAACTCAATAATGAAAAGACAAATAGAGTCATGCACTGCATGACATTTCGGTCAATGACAAAACTGCACACATGATGGTGGTCCCGTAAGATTACAATGGAACTGAAAAATTCCTATCACCTAGTGACACCTTAGCCATCATAATGTCATAGCACAATGCGTTACTCAAGTGTTTGTGATGATGTTGGAATAAACAAACCTACTGCAAAATATATTGAGGAGGAATACCTAGCTTAACCATGGGGTGACTCTCCCAAACGCAGCTCAAACCTTTAAAGTAAAAAGCTAAGCATTTGACACATTACATCTGACCCCAAGTGAAAGGGTTGTTGTTTACTTTAGAATTCTTGCATTTTTAAATAATTCCCACCCATCCCCATAGCGAAATAGTAGTTAATAAGTTAGCTTACCTGATTGAATGCTTGCTGAGTGCCAGACACAATCCCTACCTGTAATTTAATTTTCAGAACTTTGTGTGGGTGGTATTATTCTAATACCCATTTAACAAATGAGGAAAGTGAA